GATTGTTGAAACTTAAGCATTAAATACTGGTAGAAATTCCCGTCCGTTTACTCATCTATTTGTGGTTGTGTATTATTTGTTTCGCTGCGTTATCCCAGACAACCATGGCAGCTACTTCCAGCTCATTTATAGAACGCAAAAGGTAACGCAATGTGAAGAAAAACGATATGCTTCCTGCAATGACCATTCCTATGAAAGGAGTAAACTTGGAAACCTTTTCAACTCCAAATATTATTCCATATGTTTTGGTCGCAACACAACTAACTCCTTAACTGATTTGAACTGATATGTTTCGATAATCTCCCTATATTTTCTATCCAACACGTCCAGTTCATCAGGTGTTGTGTTTTTGAGGCCAAATTGTCGGTACCGTGATTGTACCTTCAATAAGTGCAACCTCAATAGCACCTCCGACTCCAGGAACTGGAAATACACCGGTTTCTGCTGAAACGGTTACCACAGCAAACGCTTGAGCTAGATTTGTTAGTTAGAAATAATGAAGGTATTATGTGACACTATTTTCTATTATTAGTAGTATAATCTAAGAGAATATTAAGGACTTTCAAGAAACTCTCCCCATGTATTGAACAACCATTCGTCCAATAAACAAATGAAATGTCAATTTGACTTTTCTATTTGTTCTTTGGACAAGATGTAACTTGCGATCAGGTTCTATTTTACAAATAATAGCCTGACACAATCCTTAATCCGATCGTTTTCCACCCACAGCAAAGTTTATATTTAGTATCCAATCAAAATATCGCAGGAGAAATTTAAATTTCAAACAACGACAACAACAATCTAAATATAGTTGTGATAACTATAAATATATCAACGACATTATATAATGTAATTAGCACTAACCAATCAAATGACAGATTAGAAAATCTTTTGTCTCATAAACCAATCAGATTTACAACCGAAATACGGTTGTAAAAACATGGACTTTTGTTAAGATTTGTATCAGGCCTATTTATTTATTTATAGGCCTGATCGCAGGTAGACAAGATGCGTATATAAGCTGGACATATATACAAAATTAAAACAGTCCTTACCTTTGAAAAACTTTGCCTTTCTCTTCAAGCGTTCTGGTGTTAAATTTGATAAAGATAGTGTTAAACACTCTCTTTGAAGAACGGGCGAGGCGTCGCTGATGCCTGCAATTAGACGGTTGAAGTCCCATTTGTCTTTATGGTAGTTGCTAATCAGGAAGTTTTCTTTCTCACTGGATATCAAATCTTTCACGTGTTGAAGGTAATTTTGTCTAATCTTTTCCAAAATGTCTGCTTCGTTAATTGGCTTTTCATCTTTAAGCCTGCCATCGTAATCGATCTTTGTGCGAATAAAAAAGAACGACTTGCCAATTGATTTCACTTTCGTTGCCAGTTCCAAGTCATTTTGTATAAAACGACCTGCAGTGAAAATAATGAAGGTATCGTAATCTTCGAGGCCAACTTTCTCGGAGTAGATAGAAAGTCAGGATAGTTCGGCCTACCGATGCCGGGTAAATGTACGAAACTAATTATCGGGTTGTTAGGATGATGATATTCTGTTGGCTCAGTCGTTGCGTCAACCATGTCTACTTCTGCTGCACCAACATCGTCATCTTTAAGTCTAACCAAAAAGTAAAGCACGATTTATAAGTAAGAATTAATGTATATTTTGTATATATAGCAAGGATATATGTGCATAATTACATATCTGTTCTAGACCTTGTCACTAAATGTTGCTATATGTCCGCTCGCTCTGGCCTTGCATGGAAGAACTCCTCAGTCATGATCAAGAACATTAACATATGTGGGCCTTAACATATTAACATATGTGAACATTAACATATATAGAGCCTTTTCTATCGCCCTAGCCTCTGGAACAAGCTACCTCTCCAATTGCGGAAGGCATATATTTAACGTGTCCGTTTTAACAGGCCAGCTAAAAACTTACTTATGTGAACCGGCATACTCGAACTCTTGTAGAAGGGTTTTGACTTTTCTAGATAGAAATTCGATTGTGGGAAATTTCACACTCGACAAATTCCATCCACAAAACCTATCTAGAATTAACTATATCCAATGTAGATGGTCACAATTTTGGTATTTACCAATGCTCAAACTCTTAGATTTTTTCCCTTGTGATTATTTTAAATTAATTCAAACTATGATTGTAAATAAGCTGCAAATTAGTATTCTATTTTTGTTGGTTTTAACAGCAAAATTGTAAAGCGCAGCTATGAACAATAAACGCAACAGCAGTATATATAAATTGAATTATTATTAAACAAATGTAGGTTGGTGCAGCAAAACTTTTTCTACATATTGGATACACGTATTTGCAAAATACCATCGCAAGTGCAATCAAGTTGAATCGGTGTATGAAACTTGGATAATCAATGTTCATTATAGTACAGAAAGTTTACTAGTGGGATGCTTCAGCAAAAAGATGTTAACCATTCTCGGCTTTAATTTTAAAAGTTATATTATTCTCGGCTTTCAACATCATTTTACTAATTCTTAAATTAAGAACAGATATTAGAGAGTTTCAGATTCTGACCTGCGCTACAGCTACCGTTGCCATTCAGATGCATTTATTCTACCCCATTAACTAATCAAATGCGTATTATTAGTAGAGGGCTATAAAGAAAGTAAAATATAAACCTCTCTGTTGTTAGTATCGGATCATATCCGAGGCTTAATGATTTGGAGTAAACGTGTTACACCATAATTGGAGACGGTGTACTTTCTAATCGGAGTTTGATTTAGGTAGCTAATCGTAAAAATATACTTTCCCGAAAATGGCTTGCGCGTATTCCCATGATATCGTCAAACAATGTCATGGTACTGCCCTCTGGCTATCTCGAAAGAAGAAATATCAAAACTTGTTACCCTCTTATTGCGTTGATAAATGCTGATTTTCCAGCTCCACTGTCTCCTGTTATGCCAAATCTTATTTTCACATCTTTCCATTCCTCGAGTTTTTTCCTGATAAATTCTTCAATGCCAGAAACACAATTCTGTTTAATGCATGTTCTTGCCTCGGTAAGATATTGTTGGGTGAGATCACTTGTGTCTATAAAGATACATTTTGTCTGTTAATATAAAATGCAAGATAAAATATACAGGATTTTTAAAAGAGGTTCTGCTCCAGCCCACACGATTTGTACGCCTATTATTGTTGCATTGTTCTGGCCTAAAGTCTGCTTTCCAGTAGCCTGCGAACAGGCTCTTTGAATTGAATTAGAGCCTGCCGGTTTAGTCAATAAAAATACGTCTGCACCCATCACTATTTATAGTGTTGTCAATCAAATGTAAATTACAATGTGACAAATTAATACAGGCACGCCTTATGTAATAGCCTGCGAATATATGTAAACAAAACGCATATCTCGATTTCAACGCATGATTGTTTACAACATTAAAACATTTGTCTTTTTTCAAACAACCCTGAAATTCCCTGAAGTAGCAATAGTAAGTGAATTCACATAAACACCGCAACGATTTGAGTTTGAACAACTACGGCGTACTAGAATGCTCAAGAATGCAAATTATAGTTGCCTTTGTCTCAGAGTAAAGATGCTATTGTTGATATAAGCAGTTGCCGTTGTATTTGCCAAACTCTCTTATGCAGCAAAAACACCCTTTCCGTCTAGAATATTGTTAAGAGCTTTTGACTGCCCATCATTTACTGTAACTTTAAACAAAGATTTAGTTTTCTATACAACTCGTCGCTATAGAACGATATTTTTTATTTGAATCTTTTGTTGTGTAAATTTAATTACCTTTTATGGCAGTATAATGTAATTAATTCAATTTCTACCAATGGGAACCCTGCGTCGTTCTAAGCAACGCACAGACGCGTTTTTATTAGCTAGGCCTGCAGGCTCTCTCTCAAATTTCAAAGAGAGGTCAAAGAGAGCCTGTTCGCAGGCTAGCTTTCCAGCCATGCGTCGTTGATACGAAAGCAAAAGCGCAGAAAAAATTTAAACTCTTCTCATTTCAGGCAAACACTAAATCGCACGGAATACTACGTACTTTCATTCATTTGATTATTTCATAGATATACTGTAGATTAAAGTTTGCTTTCCACCCATGCGTGTTTGATACGAAAGCTCACGCGCCGAAAAAATTCAAACACTAAATCGTACGGAATACTATGTACTTTCATTGATTTGCTTATTTCATAGGTAACAATAAAAAGATGTGAATTGAAGTGCAGTTAGGTGTCGACATTGTTTTTCAAGAGAATGCGACCATCTATCATCCATTATTGAGGCATCAAATGAACATCGTACCCAGGGCTTCTGCGCTTGTGGTTTCAAATAGGCGTCATTCTCGTACCCAGAGGGTACCCTTTGATTAGTAATACGGTTTGGGGAAAATTGTATTAAATCTGGCTGCGCGCCTTCTCCATATTTTCAGCTATTAAAACCGTTTACAACCTTCATAGCTATGCTCTTGCTCCAGATATATATTTAAGAAATAAAAAACATTTCTCGTGTTTCTATAGAGTTATGGAAACACGCGTGGAAGTTTGGGAGAAACTCGAAATTGCGTGGGAACACGAGCAGGAAGCTAGTGCGAGTATAGAGGATAAACACGAGTGTTCTACCATGTATAAAAATGACCCATCATATAAGTTCATTGGCAAAGTAATTTTAAAAATCAATATTGTCTAAGCCGAGAAAATCAAAGCTAAAGTTTATGTAAATGAACATGTTTTTTATCACATATAAAATCACCGACACGGTAGTGATTTCCTTTGTGTTTTCCTCGTGAATTGTTAACGCATTTTTAAAATTACAGATAATTTTAACGAAAGCCTTTATTGTTTTCCAGGCCAATTTTTGAACAGAAATTTGTCCTATTTAAAAAATTAGTTTTAACGGATTTCTTAATGAATAAAAATCAGTATTCCAAATACTTCGCCAAAATGAATAAATACATTTAAAAGCAATTTAATTTAATTCTACATCCATTCTAATTGCACAGATAACATCCACGAAATTTCTCTCTTCATTTAGATCTAAATATTTCAATTAAAATCTCAGAGATCCCAATAAAAATGCGAAGTTCCAGGGCCGCCCAGAGACATTGGGCTCGGAGAGACATTCAACTTTGGCTAATTCCCGAGAGACGATTTAACATACAATTTATTCGCAAAATTGTTATTTGGGGCACTTTAGCCTGGGGAAATTGCACATTTGCCACCTCCCCCATGTGGGAGGCTGTTATGTATATTACATGCACACATCATGTAGTTAACTTCAGGGGTCCAGGCCGCCGCACCTCTCTACATTTCTTTCCATCTCCCCCACAACCTCGTATAGGGGCCACGATATTGACCTCCCCCAGCATTTGCACTCAAATCCGGCCCTGCCGTATTCTTAATTAACACTATTCTTAACCCCGTGACGTCTTTGAAGTCGATTAACCTGCAAATCAAGTTGCACCTGCCGAGTAAAGGGCCTAGATCCAGGCTGATTATAATTAATCTGTGCATGATAATGACTGCATTGTGCAACAGCAATTAGACATCCATGGGTTTAAAAGAATTTCTCTTCATGAATTATATGTTTTAACAATGATGCGTCTTCCTTTATACGACAAATAACGATATAGTGTATTATACTATACCAACTCCACAACTCTATTGAATATTTTTTAATGTACAGGATATACTTTTATTGTTTAAGGAAATATTGTATATAATAGTTTATCTTTAACATTTATCATAACTTATTTAAAATACTCATTAAAAATCCATAAACCTTGTGGCAAATCATGTCAGCCATAATATGTCACGTGGAGTGACTTTATATCTGATAAAACTCATCTTCATTAGTATTCTTTATATAATTGTTCATCCTATAATGAGTATGATTATATAATTGTTCATCCTAATTAGTATTCTTTTGTAGTCGTATTTTAAGCTATTAAAAACACTCGAACTCGCGTTTTATCATATCTAAAACGCTCGGCTGCGCCTCGCGTTTTAAATATGATAAAACACTCCTTCTCGTGTTTTAAATACTACATACCTTTAATTTTACCAGCTGATTATTTTGAAACAATTTAGTCTTAGTTTGTCAACAATATGAACACAGTTTCCTACGGCTAGAATGCAACTATGAGTACAACAGTTTACGTACATTTGCCATTGGAAGATTACTTTTAAATTTAATTGCCAACTACATATATCTTAGCCGATGGAAATAATACAGACAGCAAATAAGCGCAAGAAATTTGCAATTGTTCGTTTGCTTACATATAGTCAATTATTAAGCCTTGCCAAGTTTTCTGCCTATATGTACATCCGTCTTTGTCTTAAAAAGTTCTTCATGTATCCAATAGTCTGTAGCTTTGTAGTATTCGACATTCGATTTAGCATTTGGCCATGTCCTATCGTTATATTTTCGCAGTATTGTTGCACGTGCGCGCGGCAAGTTGAAAGGAGGCATGTACATAATATACGGGCAGGGAGTAAACTTCCAGGAGGTGCTGGCGATTAAAGTGCAAATTTATGATTTAATATATTTCTCGGATTTATTGTTTATTAAACATGTCAAATAATTTCAGTGCGTATATCATGTATTTTTAACAAAACATTTGATGATGTATGATCATGTATCAGTTAAATATCAAAATATTTTGTACATTAAAAATGTGATTGGGGGCGTTGTAGCAAAGATTATCCCCTCCTCTGTCACGCTCTGTAGCATGAATTTGTTTGAGAAATACGTTTAACAACTTAATGAAGATATGTATAAGTTCCCATGGAAACTTCACACTAAAAAAAACTCCAATCAACTACTTTCTTATTTGTGTATCCTATAATTCGCCTTACACTTACCACCAACGTAGTGTGAATTACAGTTGCCTAAAACTCCATCAGTTTTGTCCTCATATATTTTTATACGTGTAATCATAGAAAGCTGACCGTCTTCATGAAATGAATAAATATAAAACAACATTAATTTAAAGAACAAAACAGATACAACATGATATAGTTCGTATTTCCCCCATGAAACGTTGCATTCGTGGGAGCGAACTGCGACGAAGCAGTTATTGTTTTAGGGCTAACAGTCATTATTACCAGGACAACAATAAAATTATAATTGCAAAAGAGGAAACTATACGTACTCTGCCATCGATCCACAACAGCACCCAGTACACGACGTGTGGCTACAGATTACCCAGTTGTCGTAAAGGCTAGTTCTCATTCATCGCAAACTGTCACCGACGATCGGCGACGCTTATCGCCGATACTCGACGAGCGCGAATGCACGAAAGTTCTCATACATCGGTGATCGTCGCAGATGACAGCCGACGTGTTTCGAAATTTCCCACCAAGGCACAAAATGGCCCCATTCAACGTAAAGTTCATGATTTCTGTCAAACTTCAGTTGATTATTTCCTTGCTTGCTGAGGAAAAAACTTTTACTCATTTCTCATAGATTTTTCAAGCAGGTGGCAGTTGGCGATGGTCGCAAGAAACAAACTTTTTTGTTTCCTGCGATATCATCGCCGATGGTCGGCGACGATTACGGACAATCGGCGATATAATTTTTGATGTGTTCTCATAAATGGCAAGCGGTCGCCGACGTCGCAAAGCTCCCATCGCCGACGGTTTGCGATGAATGAGAACTAGGCTTAATTAGTAGTAGTATAGTTTACATACTGCATGCATTAACATAAAGAAACGCTTCTTGAAAGAAATCCAATTTAAAATTATCCGTTATCTCGAAATCGTTTTAACTTTAGCATTGAAACACTCTTTAGTGCATGTACTTAAGACCTTGTAGTTCATAAAAGGATTGTGATTCCCAAAACACATACCTAGCTTGGTAAGTTGAGAGCAGCAATCGAAATCGGTTGTTTTATTGTCCACGCCCGCAACTGTCTCCTCCTGGTTAGGGTTTAGAGACCTGTAAAATTTTTTTTTAAATGTTATTAATTGCCATCCAGTGCCATAACCTTCCTTATGCTCTTGCTTCTTTTTTCTTTCAATTTTCATTAATGATTCAAGCAGCCCGAGAATAAGTAAAACACACGCCAAATCATTGTGGGAGAATGGGTTCAGGGTGAAGTGAACCAATTATATACATTATACTCTCAAACTCTGGTCAACCCAAAGACTCATTAAGCCTTATGTTTTCATGCCGCAGGGGTATATATAAGACCTGCTAGGAGAGACTGAATGCCCTAGGGGTCATAATCCCCAAATAGAGCCCTGCCAGAAGGGTAGCGAGCCCCTCTAACATCAACCTGAACCAAGGGGTCATAATCCCCCCGGACAGTCCCTACGATTCGACTGATTATATTTACTTCAAAAACTCATTAATAATTCATGAAGCAATTATACAATCTTGAGTAAGAAATTAGTCACGTGCATACGTCTTTATACCAGCTAAAGAACACTTTAACAAAAGACCATTGTTATGCAAACTATATAAAGATTTTTATATAAAGATTTGACTTATTATGCAAACGTTTTTGAAGCCATATAAAAAACTCGCAGGTCGTTTTTAATAGGTCTAAAGCCACTCGCGCTGCGCGCTCGTGGCTTTAAACCTAATAAAACACTCCTGCTCGTTTTTTAAATAGTACATAAATAACTGAGTCTATGGGCCTGAAGTTGACCGTTGGGAACACTTCAACCCCGAACCAAAATTTATTTGTTTCAACATAAACCAATTGCTCTTTGTTGGGATATTTGTCAAAGTGAACTCACATTGACCTTTATTCTGCGTGTTCGTTGTTGACATATGATTGGTCAGATGATCTTTCATTCGGTTTACACGTGCTTAGGGAAACATTTGAACTTTGGACTATTGGATATCGCCTTTTTGTGGCTGTTGACAAGCTTATCCTGTTACTATGACATTATAACCAGGTTTGAAGGTGACAAACGTGTTGTCTCATTAACTTGAATTTATATATTGTTATATATACATTTGCTAAAAAAATACCTCTCGACCAAGGAGGTCTTTTCCCCAGTATCCTCATCTTCAAAAATATGCTCTTTTTTCTCCACATCGACTATAATCATAAACAACAACAGCTTTTATTAGAAAGAGTTGGCAATTTCTCCATAATTACAAGGCCGTCGGAAGTAAATCAATAGGTACCTTTAGCTACAATCTTTGACAATATAGGTTGGGACAATCTAATTTTCACATGCATTCGGTTTTAATATACCATTTACTGATACTTTTTTCCATCCTCCCTCCCCCACCCGTTTCAATGTTGGCGCCTCGCAACAAGACATCAGGTTTTTGTCGGTCCAACATTCAATGGGGGAACGGGGGGGGGCGCTATTCCTTTCAAATTATATGAAATTACAGCAGCTGTGCCATAGTTTCTGGCAAAGATTGTCTTGGTGGTGATCAATGGTGTTTGGAATTTGGTAATTAAGAGCGACTGTCTACAAAAATCAAACAAAATGAGAAATATGTGGCAAGGCTCAAAATTTTAAATTCGCTCTACTTTTGTGGTCATAACGTTATGTGGTTAGTTTTTAAAAATACTCTTTTGTTTATGAAAAAAGGCAAAAAAATGTTTCAGCTGTGAGGACCGATTTTCGCAATCGAAAAATGGCCGAAATTGCATATGTTTACTTAATCCTGGTATCCAAACCCTAAATCCAAATAGCCTTATTATACTTTCTGTTAAAGCTACATCACTCCTTCGTTTATTAATAGTGGTTTTATGATAATTGAACAACTGAACACATATGTGCACAATAAAGAGCGACGGGTACTGATTTTTAATGTTTGTCATTGCATGTAAAAAGTGGCAGATTTCTCCATTTGCCATCCTTTCAAATCTTATGGGATTTTGCACAAGCACTATTGGGAAACTGCCCTTTTCAGAAATGTATTATTTATTTTGGGCAAATAAATTCACACGCTTTGAGAAAGAGTTAACTTTGGTTCATTAAATATGCAAAATCACTGTTTGGCGATTGCGTGACTAAACACCCCTTGCAATTTGAAACTCACTTAAAACATCATTGTTCTTCACCTTTAGTTTAGAGAATTTAAAGAAAACATAAATATACATACCTTGAATGCAAAAAGTTCCTTTGAGCTGTTCCACTTTTGGAGTTATCCCTAACTTAACTACATATTAAACTCAAAGTTCAAGGAATCCAGCTAACAGAAATCAGCTAACAATTTACACAACTTCCATTCGTATTCCATTTACAATTGTTATAGTTAAGCCAATAAAATAAAAAAAAACAAGCCATGCAGAAAAGAGTCAAGATTAATATTGCAGACATTATATTTTATTCATATACTGTACTAAGATATCGAAAAAAGTATTTACATTTATAATTAGATGATGCGGGCTTCCTGTCGATTTGGCGGAAGCAATAGCTACTACTGCAGTATTGATATCTCTGCGAACAAATGAATAATCTGTGCCAATCCGTGCCCACTATTGGCCAAAATAGCAGCGTCTAGAGAATGCCATTTCCTTCGAAACCACTCTGATCAGTCGTCAGTTCAAATACCAATATGCTGACTTTTCATGGAAGTTTAACTGTTATGGGGTGCTCGTGACGGATATTAATTAATCATGATAACAATAGCATAGCGGCGTGCGGTCGCATTTTTTCGACAATAATCCACATAAAAACAATATTAAAAATACAAGTAATGCATCACAGTGGCATTACTTTCGCCAAATTGACAGGGAGCCCGCCAGCTATAATGTAAACATTTGGTGACAAATAGCTTTTTCAATATGTCAGTATAAAAATAAAATAGAATTTCTGTAATATTAACTTTGACTGTTTGTTTCTAAGAATATTAATAATTGTAAATAAAAGTAAATTACAGCAATAAAAAACCCTCAATTCGCAATAATCCACTTAATAGAAAAAAAATATTAAAAAAGAAATGACAACATTTATACAGTAATACATCGCAGTGGCATTACTTCCGCCAAATCGACAGGAAGCCCGCCACCTATAATTGAAACATTTAGCTTTTTCGACATGTCAGTATAAAAATAAAATAGAATTTCTGCATCATTAATTTTGACTCTTTGTTTCTAAGAATATTAATAATTGTAAATGGAACACGAATGGAAGTTGTGCGAATTGTTAGCTGATTTCTGATAGATTAGATTCCAAGAACTTTGAGTCGATGGATAAGGCGGAGATGTAAACAACCGAACGGTCGACAATATTAAATTCCTGGTATAAACTCCAAAAGTGGAACAGCTCAAAGAAAATTTTTTCATTCGAGGTATGTATATTTATGTTTTCTTCAAATTCTCTAAACTAAAGGCGAAGAACAATGATGTTTTAAGCCAGTTTATTTCAAGGGGTTTTTAGTCATGCAATCACCATTCGCGTAATCATAGTTAATATAGAAGACTTCTATATTAACTATGGCGTAATAGACTAAATTTTTATCTAAACAAAAATTTCATCACAGCTTGAAAGAGCATCACAAAATTAGTAATATTCCAAAATTTCGTTGCGAAATGTTGTAAAATGCGGATAATATAGCCCTGCGAAGTTGGCAATTTTCGGTCAATTTTTAGATTACAAACGGGAAATTGACAGCCCGATACGCTTTGAGGCTGTCAATTTCCCGTTTGTAATCTAAAATGACTGAAAATTACAAATTTCGCAAGGCTATATTATCCGCATTTTACAACATTTCGCAACGAAATTTGTGATGCTCTTTCAAGCTGTGATGAACTTTTTGTCTAGACTTGTTGAGATCAAAATTTAGTCTATTATGCACATTTGCATACCAGTGATTGCCAAACAGTGATTTTTGCATATTTAATGAACCAAAGTTAACTCTTTCTCAAAGCGTGTGAATTTATTTGCCCAAAATAAATAATACATTTCTGAAAAGGGCAGTTTCCCAATAGTGCTTGTGCAAAATCCCATAAGATTTGAAAGGATGGCAAATGGAGAAATCTGCCACTTTTTACATGCAATGACAAACAATAAAGATCAGTACCCGTCGCTCTTTATTGTGCACAAATGTGTTCAGTTGTTCAATTATCATAAAACCACTTTTAATAAACGAGGGAGTGATGTATATTTAGCAGAAAGTATAATAAGGCTATTTGGATTTAGGGTTTGGATACCAGGATTAAGTAAACATACGCAATTTCGGCCATTTTTCGATTGCGAAAATCGGTCCTCACAGCTGAAATATTTTTTTGCCTTTTTTCATAAACAAAAGAGTATTTTTAAAAACTAACCATATGACGTTTCATACTTTGTCATAGTTAACTTAAATTCAAAAGTAGAGCGAATTTAAAATTTTGAGCCTTGCCGCGGTATGTTTGATTTTTGTAGAGACTCGCTCTTAAACGTTTTAATTCTAAGTTTATACCGTCCAATAACATATATTCCAGTATCAAAGCATATGTGGGGAAAGTTTTGGTAGTTTTAAATACTATCCATTCATTCCGGGGGAAGGGGTTATTTTTAACACGTTACTGATACCAATACAGTTACGTGTGCTACTATAACGCTTAGTAAGCATAGTTATATTCACGTCTATTATCATCATCGCTCTCTGCCTTGTAAAAAATCCGCGGAAATGTACTCAAAAAATTACATGCTGTCCTTGGAATGATGCAAGAGGCCATAATTACGACGAACCTGGAACGGAATTATTCAGAAATGATCGGTTTGTGAGTCGAGTAGGTTTAAATCTCATCTCACAGCATATCAAACTGCGGGGAAAGACAAATAAATATGCATTGTTTTCGCCTTTTACAAACTTATACTTGAGAACTGGGGACATTTCCAAGCTAAAATCTCATTTGCAGTATAAGATTTATAGTACAGTTCATAAAGCAGCCAGTCGTCAAATTAGATACGTCTCATATTACACGATGCTCACTAACGAATCTCGGTCTAAAACGCTGATTCGCGTTACTATAAATTTTCCATGTCATACATTTTATATCCAAATGGGTGCCAGCAAGAAAGGGTTATTTAATCTTTGCTTCATTGTATACGCATCATTTTATATTCTTTCGAAGTTGGGATCGAGGGGTAACATGATCTTTTCAACCGCAACTTAGTACGAGGTTGACCTCTGGAGTTTGGCCAGACAAACATATAGCTATTGACACTCATGTACGCTCTTGCAAATATTTCTTTATCGCGGCTACGTTCATTGCCTTAATGTTCGTATTTTGTTCTCCAGGTATTGTATTTCTTGTTCACAACGACGCTATATGCATATTAGTTTGATTTCGCGAAGAAACAATCTTAAAATTTCGAAGTATCGTGTGATCGCCTATTTATTACATATAATAATGTTAGCAAAGTGTCGGCATTTCGCGATTTTTGACGACGTGACACTACACGTGTTTCTAGGGCTGAAGTCGCAGATTGTAATTAAGTAATATGGTTTCTTGTACATCAATGTCTTAAGGTTACAGAACACCTTTGAGTGTTAATTTTGCCTAAAATTTTTTTTACTGGTTTCCATGAAAGCATTAGACTAGTTCTACTATCTGACCAAATTTGGACGAAAAATGTTGAAAACTCGCAGAGTTATTTAATAAAATACATTTCGCTTGCAATAAGGAAAACATTGAAAATGTAATATTCAAATTCAATTTTCGCCCGAAGAATTTTACGGCAATTACTGATTTTTAGACGAGTTGTGCTCCTGCGGGTTTTAACGAATTTTTCTCAAATTTTCACAGGACATAGCTAAAGACGTCAGTTTCAAAATCGTGTTTGGCTTTGTTCTAATTTTGGATATTTTAATAATAAGGAGCAATTCACACAAACGATTCAGAAATATATTGCAGTCGTCAAAGAAATCGCCATATGAGCGGAGACAGCGGAATGACGAAATAAACAAAAATTTCCGAACACAACTTTTTAAAACAACTATTCTACTCTTTTGTTTTCTATAATGACCAATAACAAGGCTTAAATTTTTTATTTAATTTAATACGACGCTTCGGAATTTACTCCATCATCAGGTAAAAACTACAATTTGCGATCTAAAACCGTTAAAACTATTTTAACTATTTTAACGGTTTTAGATCGCAAATTGTAGTTTTTACCTGATGATGGAGTAAACTCCGAAACGTCGTATTAAATTAAATAAAAAATTTAAGCCTTCTTATTGGTCATTATAAAAAACAAAAGAATATATTATTAAAATATGAGGTTAAGGGAAAGTTCGATACTAAATATACTGAACTATTTTACTGTATAAAAATGATATTTTCATAAATATATCTTAAAACCAGCAGGAACATAACTAAAAAGCGTAAAGGTACCGCGACTTAAGATTTTCCTGAATAATTCTTACATTATTTTATTGTTTGTCAATTTTACAACTTTATCATATTTTATATGCACTGGCGAACATTTGATGAAAATTTGATGAAAATCTGATTTTGAGCGCGCAGTAGCGATTTTCCACAAAACGCCAAGAAGTGTGTCCTGTAACCTTAAGCGCTGTCCGGGAGCTTTGCATTTAGGATGAAACCTAATTTCAACCTACAATAAATATGTATAAACTCGTTGCTCGGAAACGCAAATTAAATATTACAATAAAACACGCAAATACATTCGATTGAACCTTTTATTTGCTTGTTATAGCTGATATGGGATCAGGATGTTGAGCAGTTGGCCCATTTTCGCCAACAAAGTGCAAGTTTACATATGTTATTGAGTGATATGTAACTGTCTTTCTTGCACACGAATGACTGAATGAGTCTCCGCGAGACACGCAACAATCCATCGCTCCATTCTTTCTGCCGTTTCTTTCAAGCGTTTTGGAGCCGGAAAACGATAGAAAGTAACAGTATCACCAGTCTTGTTCTTAATTTGTAAATGTTGGAAACGAGAATCATTTCTGCGAGTTCCCCAAGCACATCGCTTTACCATGTTTTCTATAGTATTTATACAAGCATGCCTCGCAAAGTGTCCGCACTTCGCGATTTTTCACCACGTGACACTACACGAATTTCTAGGCCTGAACTCGCAGATTACAATCAGTTAACTTTGCAGATATGCCTTTTTAAGTTATTTGAACGTATTTGAACGATGCTCACTACAAAACTATAAATAAATCTATATCTCATTGGCTATTTTAGGACAGAAAGTGAGAATCGTTGTTGGAAAATCATTCGTATCTTTGTCAGTTCGTTACGAAAACTTCTAAAATCGTGCTATTTTATAAAATATGTTGGACTTTAAATGTATAGGGTGAATTTGTTTGATATTGTCAGCTATTAAGGCTTTTGGCGTGTGAAAATATAGTGAGATTCGTGGTGAGATTCGTTTCTATATTGATCTCATTGTCCGTTACCTCGAAATCGTTTCAACTTTAGTGTTGAAACATCCTTTAGTACAGCATGTACTTAAGAACTTGTAGTTCATAAAAGGAATTCGAAAATTCCAAACGCATACCTAGCTTGGTAAGATGAGAGCAGCAACCGGTTGTTTTGTTGTCCACGCCCGCACCTGTCTCCTCCTGTTTAGGGTTTAGAGACCTGTAAAAAGAATTTTTAAAGAGTTATATTGCCATCCAGTGTCATAACCTTCTTTATGCTCTTGCTTGTATTTACTTTCAATTTTCAAAAAAATACCTCTCGACCAAGGAGGTCTTTCCCCCACTATTTTCATCTTCAAAAATATGCTCTTTTTTCACCACATCAACTATAAATCATAAACAACAACAGCTTTTTTTAGACAGAGTTATAGCAATTTCTCCACAATTTTAGACTAACTTAGCCTGATTTTCAGACCTGATTTAATGGTTTATCCTATATAATCTACCTAATCTACCATAGCTTATATACTTACTGTCATCGTAGTGTGAATTCCAGTTGCCAAGAACAGAATCAGTTTTGTCCTCGTTTTCTTTCAAACTTCCACTCGTACAACAATGACAGTCTTCATGGAATGAGGAAATGAAACAACATCAATTAAAAAAAACACACAGATATAACATGACGGAGTCTGTTTTTATATCTACCGCTGCGATTAAAATAGGCATTTTCCCGCGGGTTCGTGGGAACGAACTGTGATCAGTCAGTGTCCAGGGGGCAATACCGTAAACCTCAGAATATAAGCCCCCCCGTGTATAATCCCAGCACATCTACTAACGCTCACCTCATTCCAAATATAAGCCACCCCCCTCGAATATAAGGCCCCCCTCGAATATAAGCCCCCGAATATAACTCCCACTTCGTTACTCAACATTGACATTGTCTTTTAGGATAATATAGCAGAGAACGATATTTAAAAACATTGTCATTGTCTTTATCTAGCTTACTATGCTAATCAAAGCGCGTTATTAATACATGTTTATTTTCCTGTTTATGACTTGTTTATTACTAACACAAAAGCTCGTGCATGTATAAGCCCCCCCGTATATAAGCCCCCCTCTTGTATAAGCCCATCAAAAAATCGCTTACGAAAGAATATAAGCCAAAGGCTTATATAGTCGGAGGTTTACGGTTAATCACCAGGGCAATAGTTAGTACTTAAATTCATTTCATAATCGCCAATAGAGTAGCAAAAAATAATCACACATGCAGCACACAAGTTTGGCCACAAATTACCCAAGCCACCTGAAATTGAGAAAAAAATTTTGTTCTTTCGCTTGTCAAGTGAAAGGATGGAATCAATACAGACAAGGGCACTTCGAACCATCTTCCCTTCCATAGACAATTATAATGAGGCGATGATGATGGCACAGATACCAACATTGGAGAGCAGACGCGAACTGTTATGTAAAAAATATATGACTAAAATGAAGAAGGAGGATCATCCCCTGCATTTTATGCTCCCAAAACATAAGATGAGCGAATGTAGGTATAGCCTACGAAATGGCAAGACAATACTGTTTTATTTAAGAACACAACTAAATGCAGAACTTTAAGATCTGAACAATTTTTTACTTTTAAATATTTTTAATGTTTATACATAGTTTTAACAGTTGTATGTATTTATGTAAATATAGTTTTAGTAATACTTTGGACTCGTTAATTCAGTGTAAATATACTGCAAGAGAGTTTCAATAAACATCAAATAATAATAATATTTATCAGTGTTTGGCAAAGATAAGGTAAAGTAAGTAGCATTAAAATAGTACAGTACAACCCTATATAAATAAGACAAATGATTAATATTTAACAATTATTCGCCGAAGGCGAGGTGATTATCGGTGAATAAAAACCGAGACGAAGTCGAGGTTTTTATTCACGATAATCACCGAGCCTGATGTGAATAATTGTTTTAGTATAATTTCATAGGTGATTATTTAGAAAAAAATAAAAAGTAGACATTTCTTCGTCATTTAATTTGACAAAACGGCTTCGGCTGCCATTTTGAAAATCGCTTAGGTGATTATCGCGTAATAATCACCTCAACGGCAACCAATCAGCGTGTAGAATTTTCAATAATCACCTATGTAATTATACTAAAGCCATTTAACCCTTCGCAAGAAATTTCGCGTCGTGGTCAAACATTTATCAAACGCCCAAACTACTTCTTATACACTTGTCAAGTCTTCCTAACCGTATACTGCACCAACAAGTCTTCCTTGTTCAAAACTTGCCATGAATGGCGTTTTGAGCGCGAAACTGTTTGTCAAGGAAAACTTGTCAATTTTTTGTCTTATATACCACGAACAAATAGTTTACTAAACAAGAAACAATTTCTCGTTTGTACAGGGCTTTATAAGGACACGCACGAGAAAAAATGGAGACATGATTCGTGATCAAGTACGCGCTCTATGTCTATTATTTCTATAAGTACAACACAATACTGCACACGGAACGGTATGATATATGATGTTGTGTAATTTGGCTTCTACGTCAAATAAATAATTTGGCTTCTACGTCATTTAATGTGGCTCGATACACTTTCTAAGTAAAAGTTTAAAGGACATTGGCAATAAAAAATTAGTTTGTCTCATTCAAAAGAATTCTTAAAATGATATATTAAACTCTATTACAGATTTGTCATATCTTGCTTAGTTCTCGAGATATTTAGACCGAAATTAGTGAGCTGTCCGCCATCTTGGACTAATTCTTGACCTCATTAACTATGCTTTTGATGACGTCAGGAGTTGGTTATCCATGTAAAACTACTGTAAAATGACCGAGTAACAATCCAAAATTGTTTAAAATGTTTTTAATCATTTCTAAATTTCAGACAGCAACCAAAAACGACGTTTTGGACCCATATTGATCGCTTACTCTCAAGATAAAAAAATAGTGTGACCCCTCTCTTGAGGTAGCATGCATATCCTCAATAACCCAACATGGCGAACAGCTGACTTTTTTCAGTCGAAATATATTTTAAACTAAGCAAGATATAAACAATCTGTAATAGAGTTTAATATATAGTTTTAAGAATTCTTTCAAATGAAATGAACTAATAGTTCTTTCAAATGAAATAAAGTTTTACTACCAATGTCCTTAAAGGCATTAAATTATATTCCCCCGCTACTTAGAGAGACATAAAAACCTCCGTGTTAGGAAAAAAACATCAAATTAATTAAAAATGTCTATTAATTTTCGAGTTTCTTCGGTTACTGAATGGCAACAATACGAATGGAAAAATCAAATAATATGGGAAATATGAGCGTTTATCTCAGAAACCTGGTCGGTCATCCCCATTTTATAAATTACATGTCGTTTTTGTTTACTTCAAAGAATTTTCTGTGAAAGTTTCTGTCATGTCAATGTCCCAATGAATTTTTCATGTCAATGAATTTTTTCGGGATTGAAAAATGTTTTTTTATAAATTTCAGATTTTCTTACCGAACTCGTTTTGTAAATAGTTTTTTTGTCCAAATCATGCGCCGCCAAAGTCTTTCGCCTTTTGCAAGATGAATTAATTGGCATGCGCAATGTATTTGTTGGCGCAATTTCCACGCCACACGAACAAAACACGCGGAATGTTTCTGCGTATTGCCATGGCGATTGGAGATTTCAAATTTGTCCCACTGGAACGTCAAAGACAGCTGCATTATGGCCAATAAGAACTGGTATTGACTTGCATGGAAATTTTGTGAGAAAGAAAGTGAGTTTTTTACATGTGTTGCTGATATATTCATAGCCTTTGTTTTTTTGCGCTACAGCACAAGCAACCCGAAAGTCACTGCTAGCTCTCACTGCCACCAAAAACTCTCTTGCTTCCTACAATACTGTTAAAGGCTTAATTTCCTTTTGCAAATGATACAAGTTTTCTGGTCATTTGTGTATTCATCAAGTGAGGTAAGAGCACATTTCAGTTCATTACCATGGTAGACCTTATGATGTGGGAGGTCCTTATGTTTGTATGTCAATGATCATCTCCAACATAGGCAACCTCGTACAAGAGGTAAGAACCTGGGAACGAGTTGCAATATAGGTAGAAAATTTGATATTTTGTCCTGGTGCAGTATTCCAAAGGTTGCATATATACAACATCACGTTTTATTGCCTTTGATGAGCCAGTGTGATTTTTCCTGCAATCATGCACTCGAGGACGTCTACCTTTTTTAGCATTTTGACATATTCGCCAACACTTGCACGCACCTTGTAGCAAAAGCTAAAACCTTTCCAGTTCCTAGTCCCATAGCTGCAACTTGCCCTGTTAGTAAATTTTGTCCCTTCCCTCCCTTTTGCCATCACTGGCAAATAAATCTCTTATAATTTCCGCCAATAATTTCCATCTACAATACCCTTCAACTAATATTCAATCGAGAGTAGTAATATAGGTACCGTTCGGGCCGGATTTTTGAGGAGTGAGGAGGAGGAGTGAGGAGAAATGAGGAGGAGGAGTGAGGAGGAGTGAGGAGGAGGAGTGAGGAGGAGTGAGGAGGAGTAGTGACGTCACTCATTAACATACGTCATAATTGTATGCAATGACGTCACGCGGGCGAGCTTAAACACGATCGGGCGAAACTTGCTGACCAGCATTTTTAATCTTGGTTTGCTATGAATAGCTCGAGTCCCTCACAAGGCAAAATTGTGATCGAAATTAATATATAACACAGTTATAGCCGTATCGTTGCTCGGAAGCGATAAATTTCCACGAGTATATTAAAGGATTTTTCGTATGTTCCATAGCGTGGAATCTATTCGTCACAAAAATCAAGACATATTTTAAACAGAACTAAACAGTTGCATTTCCCGGGTTGTCAACGTCGTTGTTAAGGTCAATATTATTAATATATAGCAGAGTTATAGCCGTATCTTTGCTCGGAAGAGATAAATTTCCACGAGTATATTAAAGGATTTTTCGTATGTTCCATAGCGAGGAATCTATTCGTCACAAAAATCAAGACATATTTTAAACAGAACTAAACAGTTGCATTTCCCGGGTTGTCAACGTCGTTGTTACGGTCAATATTATTAATATATAGCAGAGTTATAGCCGTATCTTTGCTCGGAAGAGATAAATTTCCACGAGTATATTGAAGGATTTTTCGTATGTTTACAAAATTATAGAGAGGAATCTATTCGTCACAAAAATCAAGACATATTTTAAACAGAACTAAACAGTTGCTAATCCCGGGTTGTCAACGTCGTTGTTAAGGTCAATATTTGCATGTTGTTCAACGTTATTTAGCAAATCTTCTACATACATATATACTGTTAAGATGACCGAGTCAGATCATAAGAAAGCTTATCAAGAGTAGAAGTTAGAATTAGAACAGTTGTAATATTTTTTGACACTATCGTCTGTTATTTGTATCAATAAACATGTTTTAAGTTTTGCAAATTTGCGTTGTTATGCGTTGCTAAGTCATTAGGAGGTGTGTGGGTAATTAAGGGGATTAAGGCAATACGAATTTGCATAACTAAGTGTATCCCGATGGATAGATAGGGATTATTTTTAACGCAGGTGTATACCTTAAAATCAGGCGCGTGGCTTTGCGGGTGCATGCATATATTAAAGTACAACATATTTGTACACTAATCAGGCGGGCGGTTTGCACGGACGGAAAGAGCGGGCTTTGCCGGCAAAAATTTACACAATATTTCAGTTTTTAAATACATTTATTTCTTCAAAACGTTTTACAAAGTTATGCTTCTAATATATATCGTCACTTGTTTCAGGGTTTTCGCTATCAGATTCTTCATCATAGCTGCTTTCATCATCGTGGCTGCTTTCATCTTCCGTAATCCATTTGGTATGTCCTGGGACTGTTATATGAGAACACAGTTTTAACCTCTTTGTAGTTGATAAATTACTGCGTTGGCCCTGCCTTCTCTTGCTTCCGCGCCCTGCTTGTTGTAGTAGGGCTTTTGCTCCTTGTTCGCCAAAGTCTTTAACAACGTCACCTCCGTGAGTCTTTACAGATTCTCTTACATTTTGTCCTTGGAGTATATCTTGACCCACTTCTGTGGCTGCTTGTAATGCTCTTTTTCCAACAACTTTAGCACCTTGTTTGAATAGAGGAATAGCATATCTCGCAAGGCTCTTGAAAATACCTCCGATCCCGTATCCTCTTTGAAAACGTGCACCATTAAACCCAGCGATGTTTCCGCCACGCTGCTGTCTCAAGAAATGGTCTCTCAGTAGTTTTTCGTCTACAACAAGTGTACCTCTCGGCAGTTTGATGTGTTCAGTTCAACTTCACGCAGTCAACTAATCAAATATCACTTGGGTCGCCTATTTTATGGTTAAAAGATTCCCTTTTATCCGTTCTGATA